GCAGTTGGATATTGGGAAAACATCCCAGCCCAGTCCAGATCAAGTCCATAAGTCCGATATTAGCCCACATGTCCCATACCAGTCTATAAATTCCTCTTTAGACTCAGGCAAGACATGCAATGACGCCAAATGCAGGAAGATCACAGGCCAGTGGGTGGAAAGTCTTGTGGATCCAGTGGCAGTAGAAGCATCTCAGTGCTGGCGTGGGTCTCCACGTGGCTCCTCCAAATCCAGGGCTCTGGTTCCATCAGCGTAGCTCCATGTGTCTTGTCAGCAGGAAGATGAAGCAGAGAGAGTGTATCTGGCCTCCAGGGAGCTATTTTCTCCATTGTACCTCCAAATGATGTCATCAAGCTGCGACCTTATTGACAGGCTAGACTCCCCCCTTCCTCAAGTTGACAGTCAATTATATAACTGCCACACAGACTAAGATAGACCAGGAAGAAAGGCCTCTGGCCATCCATTTCCAAAGCCAACCAGGGTAAACTGTGGAACACGGTGGTCCACTGACCACCAATGGTGTGGGGATGGCGCAGGACTGGTCAACACGTCATGTCCTGTGCCCGAAGTTGGTCAGAGCCACAGCTCTACAACCACCCATGCGTCCATCCATGTGGGGAAGAGAAGTCGGGTGCACCCAGCCCTGAGCCCTTCACAATTCATGGATCTTCCCACGGGGAAGGTACAACCGGAAGGCATCCCATAAGCTCCGTTCCTTCTTTTCATTGTCATTTCCAACGTGAGTCTCCTGACCACAAACAGTGGCAGGTGTCCAGGGTCATCCCTGCATTCATGCTCATCCGTGGGAGGCTGTGCTCAGTGTCACAGGTGGTGACGATGGCGTCATGCTGCCCTGTTACCTGCTCTGCACAGTCACAGCCTGGGCCACCTGCGCTGGTTTGGAACGACACAGGTCTTAATGAAAGAATCCGATATACAAAGGACATTTGCTTCACAATGACAATGTTTAAAGTGACAAGGAGGAAATATTTAAGTCTTCTCCAACTCCCTCACCCATAGGTCCCTAGAAGTACAATAGGAGGCCTGGTGGCATAGTGGATTAGTTATGGGGTTGCTAATTGCAAGGTCAGCAGTTGGAAAGCACCAGCCGCTCTGAGGGAGAAAGGTGCGGATTTTTCACTCCTGTGGTCATGGAAACCCACGGGGGCAACTCGACCCTGCCCTACAGGGTTGCTATGAGTCTCAATGGACTCACCGTCTGTGGGTTTGGTTTTGAGAGCGTCCACTGGGAAAGAACACTCGGCTGCTAATTGCAAGGTCAGCCTTTTGAGCCTGCCTGGCACTCGGAGGGAGAAAGAGCATCCTAGGAAATCTCCCGGGCCAGCTCCATGTGGTCAACACGGGGTCCATATGAGTTCAAACTGACCGCTCGACCCCCGGGTGCCCGGGTAGCCCTGGGTTTGTGGGTCCGCATGGAGCACTTGCTGACACAGACAGCGGGTCGCACGGGCGTCCCAGGACCAGGATGCAGAGAGGACAAATGAGGCTGTGGCAGTGGTGACCTCGGCAGCTGAAGTCAGCACGGTGACCCTGGATACTGACACAGCCTCGGCCAGTTCCTCACCAAGGGCTCCTGGCCCCGACCCTTGAGTCCAGCTCCAAAAGCGAGCTGGCGGCTGCTGGGGACACTCCCCTGGGTCCCACATGCTTGGGCATGTCTGAATCTGAATGTTATGCGTCCACCCGTCCTCAGTCCAGCAGCGCACGCGTGGAATTACATAACCAGAGCATGGACTCGCATCGTGATGAGGCTCAGACTTCTCGTCCCTTAATTAGACAATCAAGAGAGCTAATTATAAAATTAAAGACGTGATTGTGTGGCCCAAGATCTATGCAGTTCTCTCTACCCGTTAGCGATTACATTTAGAAAAATAGTCCCCCAAATGGGTGAACTGAGACCCTGGAAGTGGGGCAGTGCTGGATGGCTGCTAAGTGTCTGGTCTTGGCCTTCAGTGCAGGCGGGGAGGGGCCAGGGAGGCTCAGATCTCTTCCAGAGGGTCACGCTCACGGTTGGCATTGCTGTCACCCTTCGGGCCGCCTAGGGGAGAAGAGGGGCGTTGATGGGACTGATCCGTGAAAGCCCCACGGTCACATTTGGACATCGGCTCGCACACGTCGTAGCCATACTGCCCCTTTTTCAGGAGCCCTGGTGGCATCATGGTTCTGCCTTGAGCTGCTAACAGCAGTTCCAAAGCACCAGCCACTCAGCATGCTGAGGATAAGATGAGGCTTTTTGGCCTGTAAAGAGTTACCGTCTTGGAAACCCACAGGGGCAGATATCCCCCATCCCACTGGGGTTCTCTGAGTTGGAATTGATCCCCAGCAGTGAGTCTGGGCTTCTGAGGGGTCCGAACAGACCCGACGGCAGTGAGTATGGCTTTGGTTTGGGACCCTTTTCAGGGAAAAAAAAAATTTCTTGGCATCCCCTCGGCAATTAAAAACGTCTAGCCCCAATCCAGGAACGCATGTAGGTATCCGCTTATGCAGCCCCGCTAGGTCCTTAGAGCCCCTCCTGGGGGCTGGTATCGCCCACTTTGGGAAACACAGGTTTCAGTCATGTTCTGGGGGTGCTGTCGAATCCAGTGCTGCAGTCTTATGGTCAGACCTGAGTCGAGAGAGCTGGGGCTTGGCAGGGGCGCTTGGCCTCCCTCACAGTCCCTGGACAAATAGACCACTGCTGAGAGAACCCCAACCAGCGCGGTGCTGGCATTTCCCTGTTTGTGTCTTTGCAGGCAGTTCTTTCACGTGCTTGCTATCAGGCCCCTTGGGAGAGATGGTCCCAGGCCAGAGCACATGTTCCGGCACTCCGAGGCAGCGGTTCTCAACCTGTGGGTCGTGACCCCTTGTGGGGGTCGGATGACCCTTTCACAGGGGTCTCCCAATTCATAACAGTAGCAAAATTATAGTGATGAAGTAGCAACGAAAATAATTTTATGGTTGGGGGGTCACCACAACATGAGGAATTGTATTAAAGGGTCGCGCATGAGGACGGTTGGGAACCACTGTTCTAAGGCCATGTTAGACTATTCTTGTATGCAGCTAGAGTCCTGTAACTCAACCCATAAACCCACTGCTGGCGAGCGGACCCCATTCACAGATACCTGGCCAGACAGAGGAGAATGGTCCCAGAGGGTTTCCAAGGCCGCACATCTGTATGGGAGCAGATCTTGCTCCCAAGGAGCTCCCAAGGAGTGGCTGGTGGGCCTGAACCACTGACCTTTGGGTCAGTATCAGGGCGCCTTAGACTGGAGCAATCATCTCTACATTTCTTCTTGTCCACAATTGAGACTTGGCTGATCTCGGTGTAATGCTAAACAACTGTTTTGACTCATTCCTTTTGCTGAATGAACTGAACTTTTCACCCAGTTGGCTGGGTGACTAGAGATGGAGTCATATGGCCAGGGTTTGGGGAGCCACTCTGACTATCCATCTGCTCCCATAAGCTGTTGAAATATTTCAGTACTTCCAATGTTTTGACAAGCGCATCGCACTTCTAAGGCGGCCGCTGTCTCCTGGAACGGGCACAGAAACGACCCCGCCTCCTGACTCAGGGGTAAGAAAACATGCCTCCCATATGGTCGCAGGCATGACATCAAAGCCTTCCAGGGATTCCAACTGGCCATGTTTCCATGGTGTGTCCCCGCCATGCCTAAGTTTTCTTTCTCCCTCTCAAGCCGTGGAACGTGCCGAGAGACACATGATGTGCAGGGTCACTGCTGACCAAGAACACATACACAGCTTGGCCCAGGGCGGGTAATCTCCGTCTTAGTTGATGTACAACTGTTCCCGATAGGCTTAGAGGCAAAGGAACTGAGCGGAGGAGGGGGCATTGTACAAAACCATAGCTAGGAGGGAATTTTAGGGTGGGGAGTTGCAAGAATGGGACTAGCTCCTGTCTGTGAATGGGCTGCGTGTGAATGGATGGATAAGGGCGTGGGTGGTGAGTGAGTGGATGGATGGGTAGATGAGAGAACTGGATGGATGGATGGATGGATAGGTGGGTGGATGGATGGATGGATGGATGGATGGATGGATGGATGGATGGATGGATGGGTGGATGGATGGATGGGTGGGTGGATGGATGGGT